TTGTGTAGTTGTTCTAGATGATATTCGTAGTTGAAAACGATCATGATAATTAGGAAATATTGTATCAAAACGAACGTATTGAGTATGTGTTAAGACTTAACCTGTCGATAAATCTTTCTTTCTTAATTGATCTATATATTAATGATAGATTCTAAGTTAAAAAAATTAAAAAGAAATAAACCAGATGAATTAATTGTTCTTCAATAATAACCTGATGAAGGATGATAAGAAGTTCTTTCTAAGATTATTTTCTTTGACATGAATTATTATCCTCATCGAAAGCTTAGCTAAAATGATGCATAGCAGTTAACAAAACAATAAAATGAATGAAAAAAAGACAAATCAATAGAAATAGAACATTTACTAATCGATTAAAAATTGGTTTGTCAAATATAACAAACTAGTTTATATATTCAAGATCATTGTCATGTAGTGTTTAATAAAAAGCATATATAAATTTGAATTTCGATGATCAAGAATCTAGGTATAAATTTTTTATTTGCAATCAGATTCAATAGTAGTCTGGTAGTAAATCTTCAGATGAAATAAATTTTCCGACGCAATGCCATGCAAACTGTAATATAAAGAGTCGTCAGTATAATTTTAAATTGAAACGACTTTTTAATATAAAAATTAACTAACTAGTTCTTTCGAAAAAAGCTTATTATTAAAGTTCCATGAATATATACAACTTGAAAGTCATATAACTCTTGAAATTTCTAATAGTAACAAGTTGTATTTCAGTCTGTCACGTTCTATATATGCTAATACTAAGAAAGATGGAAGAACTCTTTTAAAACTTGTCATATAATAACTCTCAAGGATTGGCAAATTTGATCTAAGATCTTATTTGAAATCGTTGTTTAACATAATTGAAAGACTTCTTGATTCGTAAAAGGATCTATAAAGTTCAGTTTTATACTAGGCTTTATATTTTTAGATTTCCTAATATCTAGATACTTTCACAGTTGCATCATGCTAATGGTTGGCATAACTATCTCAGGGAAACAGATTCTTTTCTGATATTTTTGCATCGAAAGGTTGAAAGTTTTTGATAGTCGGTTAAAAGTAGTTCAGAAAATGAGCTCGAAATTTTGAAGCATCTAATGACTAACTAACTTTTTGTGACTATAATCAATACATTCATTCTGATCTGTGGCCCTTATTGTACTATGAGAAAGAGTGAATTCAAAACTTAGAGTTAAGATTTTGGTGAAAAGTAAAATAGACTAGCTTCAGTACCCTTAAAATTGATAAAAAACCGATGACAACCGAGCGATTTTAAAAGTTCAAACGAAACATATGATACACCTTGAAAATGAAATGTTATTATACTGTAATACTAAATCTTACTTAATCCTTCACCTCATGACACTCATCTAGTACAGTTGGTGTTAAAACAACCATATAAATAGTTTTTGCAGGTGCTAATTATGCCAATAGTATAGTTAAATTTGGACCAAGTCATTTCACTGTGAAGATGCAGAAAGGGTCTAATATGACTTATTCGTCTTGAATGGCATGAGAATTGAATTTATTGTTAATTTGACTTTTTCGCAATTATACTGCTATTTTATCTGTATAAAGTTGAAAACTTACTTATCATCAGCTACTTTTTGAAAAATAAGTCATTTAGGAGGATGATATATGGTTAGATACTTGCAATGGCGACTATTTTCGAATTGCAGTCAATTCTTTTACTTCCAGGTTTGTGTTGAAATCGTTGATCTTCATGTTCTTCATATAATATAGAATCATTGGTTCGGAGTCCAATCTGAAATCACCCATTGCTATTGTTACAGTCTCGTCGAGAAGGAAGACTATAACAAAGGCTGCAAGTTTCTACCTTTTATCGTTCCAATAAAGTGTTTATCATGAAGATCGTATTATTTTATGAGTTTATATCGAAGAAAACATAACTCTAGAAAAATCGTTTTTTATGTTATTCATTACGGATGGATCAAAAATGATCCAAACTGTCGTGAAAAACGTTGCTTTAACATTTATGTATCAACCTCATAAACATCAGAATAATCAGCGTGTGTAACTAAATAAAACAGATTCTTTCACTTTCTTGAGAAAATACCGTTTTCCAACTTATTTATCTTAAACAGGAAATGATGAAAAGAAGTTTAGTTTTTTTTCAAATTTGTAACTGATTAAAAGTTCTGCACAATGTTCTGAAACCCTCATATCGATCCGATGCTCTAATACTCTAAATAGATAGTTTCTATGAATAGGTCGAAAATGGTTCGATAGAAGGTGAAGAACTAAAGTAGTTGAATAATCTTCTTTACAATTTAAACATTAATATTTAATTAATTCTTAAATAATATCAAGTTGATCAACATCACATATTCTTTAATATAAAAAAATGTTTCATGAGGACAATACCTATATTATTTCTTTCGAACTTTGTGAGTACTCGTCGTGTAAAATAGAATGCTTCACGAGTACTCATAGGCCTATACTCTGTTCAGTATTCCTATATTATGTTCATTTTGTTGAATTATAACATTAATTATGTGTTACAGGTACATTGTAAAAATTTGAGAAATGAAGATTTGCATAGATATGAACTTTTCATCTTGAGTAAGCAGGAAAAAAACAGTGAACGAGGAAACGTATCGAGAACAAAAAAAACAATACAAAGAAATGAGAAAAAAACATTTCATTAAATTCAGATATGACTTAATAATCGTCTTTAATATGCTGTATTCACATCCTTAAAATATTAAATTCTAATGGATTTGAAAACAACATGTATCATTCTTTTGTTTGTTTAATTTTTTACTATTAATCTGAAAACACTGTATATTACTCTAAAATGATGTTTCATCTAAAATTTCCGAAACAAAATTCAACAGATTACTATTTACATGCTTAAATAAATGTTTTAATCATACTCGAGAAATGAACAGTTGAAAATCAAAATCAGTATTTCTATTCTTTAGTTCTTCTCAATTTTTTATTTTATAAAATTCTCGTATATGCCGATGTATTAGTGTTTTGTTAGTTATTCTTGCCAAAAGCGAGAATAAGTACCACATTGAGTACTCGCTATAGTACACAAAAAGTATAATTACACATAAAACTTCTCGAGTACTCGAGTGAGTAACTTGAGTACTCATGCTAGCAAGTCGTACTCGCTTGATGAATATCTTCACTAGGGTTAGAAACTAGTGGATATTAACGAGACAGTAATACTCTTCATTGATTACAAATCTTTCTTTATAACCAAATTTAGCTACTTAACTGCGATATTAAATTTTAGGACTGATCAAATCAGTTTCCAAAAAGGAAAATTTATAGCTAATAATTATTTCAGTCGACATATATATGGACATTTTTGAACAAGAAAGACGACATTAAAGCAGCACAATCCCTTTTTATTCTATTAGAAACTACTAATACCAGAAGTCAACCTCTTAGTTCATCGATGTCATATTAATAATGATCATTCAATATATATATAGTATTGGCTACGTTCAGTATTAGATGGAACAAAACTGATACTTAAAAAAATACTATATTTGATTAATTCTGTAAATTGATACACTCAAACAATTTCTTAACACATCGAATCTATATATAGCTATATAATGCACTACATAGAATCATCATAATAGATCTTCGAGATAACAAAAATTGATGATCATGAAACATAATATTTATTTAATGCATGATAAAATAACATGTCTTTTTTTTTCAAAACAACTTAGCTACTGTTGAAGTTTCTTCTCGATTAAATTCATTGACAAGACATTCCACAATATAATTTCGAATAGGTACATTATCTGTATTAACACGAAGTGAAGAATTTTCAGCAAGAATACATAATTCATAATGAATATTACGCATAAGATTTTTCAACATGAATAGTTGTTTCGTTTGTTTCATCAACTGATACCTCAAGTTTTTTTTTTCTGGTGTATCTGATGGTTTAATAAGTATGTTTAAGTGATAAAACTTGTGTTTCACATTTTAATGTATGAAGACGAAATTAAAATCTATTCATGTAGATGTTTTATCTAATGTATCCACAGTCAAATACATCTAGTTGTCACCGGATACCTATTTTAATATAAGTAGTATAAGGTAGTAAGAAGAAAGATACAAGGATGGAAAGTGAAGGTATCATTATTGTAAACTTGTACATTAGTGAGATCTTATATAGAAGAAGAATAACAATTGCGAAGGAGACGGAATAGACAAAAACTTGCTTGATAATTGGTGTCATACAGCACAGAAAGTAGATTAACGAATAATTACGGGGAGAAAATTGAACACATTTCAGTACAATATACATCAGATTCGACTTAATTCTCTGTGCATGAGTAATATGTTTTGTATATAAAAAAAAAATATTTTGAAAAGATTGCATGTTTAAAGTATCCATATTGCTGCGAATGAGAGGTCAAAAATTAATATTTTTGTGCATCGCTATACATCTATACCTACATCCAACTTACGCACACGCATACTCATACATGGGATCTTCTCTCACCAGTAGTTTAATTTACTGAGCATGTAGAATTATCTTATACTCAAATGTTTGAGACAAAACAAAAGTGCTTTTAGCATATTGGTAATAATAATGAATATAGAAATATGAAACAACATATAAAATAAACGATCGTAGCTCTAGAAACTTAAAAACACACTCAAGTTAGAAGACTTAGTCTTTATTTAAGCAACATTCGTTGCTACATAATAACAGCGTCTAAAGAAGAAAAAGTGTTTTTTTGGTTATATGAAAAGTACAAAAATAGCTTTGAAAAAAGTTACTTTCAGTAGACATTAATTTAGAGGTAAACGCCAAGTCTCCTAACGTATAGATATATTTACTACTAAAAAATCTAACTTACTTTAACGAATAAATCACCTGATTTCACAGAAATAAATGGACGACAAAAAAGATCGATTGAAAAAAACTGATAATGAGTATGGACATACGTAAGATTTAATCCTAAATAAGAAATATTTTTATAAACATCCGTTCAAAAATCTGGACATATTGTAACAGCACGTTGTTTAAATTGTTCAATTAAATTTTGTTTTATACATATTCTATATGAATCAGCTAAATTATAAATAGTACGAGCTATTGTATGACGACTTCGTAAGATCTCATCAACATCAATTACACCATATTTATGTCGTAGAAAAAAAAAGTGGTACTGATTCTAATTAAATGAAGTTAAGAACATACCAATACGGATTAATTCTTGAGCTACAGCACGAAAACCGGAATCTTCTAGTGTTGAAAAAGGACGTAAATCCTTACAAAATCATTGTGCACAAAATTTTTTCATATTATCAATATATTTCTCGTTTAATTTTATTCTTTTTAAGCCCATGTTGAGAAAGAGTAGATTGTGTTGCTGAGGAACTGGTGAGTTGACCAATCATTATAGAATATGATGATGAAGTAATCGATTCATCGATAATTTCAGAAGAAGATGGTGGAATATTGGATCGATGGATAGTTATACAAGATGATGAAGGCATAATTTTAGCACATTTATGTTGATGCTCCTTTAAACGTGTTGTTCCAGTTTTAGCAGAATAAATAAATGTTTTATAGCATTTGAAGCAGCTAACGTATCCAAAGATTCGCTGATATCTATTATTTTCATCTAATTTAGCTGGAAATCCGAAAAAATCCCACCGTAACGTTTTTTTAATGATTCATTTTTGATAATTGTATATTTGATGTTTTCTGAACAAAGTAATAATTGGACTTTTTCTGGATTTAGAGAATCTTTAGATGGAGATGATAGATTGACTAAATTCATTTATTATCTTGTTGTGAATTTACCAAAAAACTTGAAAAAAAAACGATGAATCTAAAATAAAAATCAATACCACGATTAAGCAAGAAATAGTAATCAATATGCGTTGTTGATGTTTATTTTGTATCAGTTCATTTTCTTGATTTGATAATCTTCCCAGCTTATGGTAAAATTACCGTACATTTATATTAGAACAGTGACACCTACCACTATTAGTGAATATCGATTGTAATCAGTTATGGCGATTATTATGGAAGAATTCTAAAGTAAAAAAAATTATAGAAACAAAGATCAATATGTTTGTTTTTTTTCTTTACTGACGTTTAGCAGAATGAGACAAAAGTTTTCCAGTTTTGTTATATTATGTTATCTTGTTTTGAATCTGAGAAAAATTAAGGAATAATGGACAATAAAAAAAAACAATATGACCATAGTGACTACAACAATTCCTATGTGTTGCTTTTGTTTACATTATATATCGTCTTATGTTGTTCATTTCACATTTTTGTCAACCAATACTAAAGGATATGGTCGAAAATTATGGATTTTTCCTCACTCTGGAAATGGTATAAAATGAAAGTACTTGATATGTAAATCACTAATCCCATATCAATTTGTCAAGATTTGATCCCTTTTTTGTAGGTGTTTTCCAGTACTAGGGTGCACCAAATCCTATTTTTCTATATAAAGATTACAAATTTTCAGTATTAAGACTCACCAAATCCAACCAAATATTAGTGTCAATTATAACCAGTTTTATTTGCTCTACTCGATAATGGTATAAAATGACCAAATCTATCCAAGATATTTCTACGATTTGGTATGATTTGGTGAAAATATGACACTTTTTACCAAATCCTGCCAAATCTTAGAAGTGTCTTGGATAGATTTGGCCATTTTACACAATTATCGAGTAGAGCAAATAAAAGTGGTTATAATCGACACTAATATTTGGTTGGATTTGGTGGGTCTTAATACTGAAAATTTGTAATCTTTATATAGAAAAATAGGATTTGGTGCACCCCTATCCAGTACCAAGTGCGTCAATCGAACTCAGACATATGTATTTGACACTGAAAAACACCTATAAAAAAAGGATCAAATCCGGACAAACTGATATGAGATTAGTGACCTACTCATCAAGTACTTTCATTTTATACCATTTCCAGCGTGAGGAAAAATCCATGATTTTCGACCATGTCCTTTAGCATACATTGACGTCACAATCTGTTACATATTGTCCTTGTTCTGCTGAACGGCAAGACAGGGCAAAAAATTTTATTTCGTTTTGTCCTGTCCTGCCGCTCCATCGTCTCGTGTCCCGCTGAACGGCAGGGAAGTACAAGAATTTCAGTATCGTCCTGTCCTGCAGGACAGGACACAGGACGACCGCACTGTCCTGTGCTGTGCTCATCTCTGGTGGGAAGCAATCATGATCATAAAACGTGTTTAGAAGCACATTACACATAATATTAGTTCATGTTTAAGCCTTTTCTGCTAGAAAAAATCGAGAACAACGTTTTGTAAGGAGAGTGATGGAGATTACACTCACAATGGAGGTTTTTGTGTTGTAAGTTGAAAAGACCAGATATTTTTGCATCAAAAGAAAGCTCTCACCGCCAAACTAACAAGGTTAAAATATTAGCTGCTGTTGGCTTGCCTGGAGGGAGATATTCGATTTTATGGTCCTCCCGATTAGGGTATATAGGTACATTAGAACTATTTACATTAATTTTTTATGCAATCAACTGAGTATTTCGATAGTAGGCCATAAGTATCTTTCTGAAATTTATCAATAGCAGTAGGATTACGTTAGTTTCGATGACTTCTGGAACTAAAGTAGTATCCATATAGATAAAGATCAGCTAGTAGTTATCAGAATCTTTAACTCATCAATAGTTTCAATTTTATTTCAGCTAAAAACAACAGATTATATAATATACTATTTTAACAACTGTACTACAAGTGCAGATGTAGGTCTTCAGTCAGATGATAGTAACAAAGAGCTTGTTTGCGCCAAGCGCACATTAATAGTGTTCGTTCATTGCAATTATTAACTGAACAGTATAGATCGTAAAATTTGAAGCAGACATCTTTTAGTTTTTCAATATGTCCATTTGTTTCATTTGTTATTCGAGCTTTTATAAATCCATTCTTAATGAGATTTTTAAATTGTGGAGCGGATAATTGATTGTGAATAACAGAATGCATGTTGATGAAATATTGACGATCACTTAAAGTTATTTCTGTTCGATTAATATGAGTATAATGTTCGATTTTTTCATGAATAAATCGCCATGAACGGAATAAAGAAAGATCTTGTGGTTGAATATAATCGGTTGATCCTTCAGGAAAAATCAATAATTGACTGTCTTGATTAGGAAATACTGCTCTAAATTTTGTTAGATCAGTTTGAGTTTTCCAAGCATCAAGGAAGAGAAGAAACTTTTTACCAACCAATGGGCGTAGAACTTCATTTAAAAAAGCATGATGTTTTTCATCACTGCTTTTTCCTGATTTTGAAGCTCTGACTACAACATTTGGTAGTATAATTAAATTTTGTTGCACTCTTGTACCGAATGTATTTTCTTTTTCCTGAAGAATGAGTAAGAACTTGTCCAATAAATGACCATTAGCTGATGTAACTGGTTGAACTGTATAGGAATGCGTTATATTATATTTCTTTTTAACAGCCACTTCTGTTGTTCTTTCACCAGTAAAAGAAAGGGTCCTTGGTGGAACATATTCTTGTTAAATGAACAGTGATCGCTGTTTAAAACTTGGTGAGAAGAATACTTTGATATTAAAGTTCTTTTATTTTCAATTCAATTTTGAGCATCTAAAATATATATGTATATTACATTAAGACATACGTATTTAAAGACCAAATAAAAGTTTACATACCATTTAAACTGCAAAGTTTTTTGTTTGATTTGGTTCGGGTAATAATTTTGTTATATCTTCTGGATGATATTCCGTTTTCTCTTTTAAAAGTATTGATAAACGATTTACTTGCCTTGAATGTAGGCCAATTTAATTCTCTTGTTTTTTGAATTGCATAGAGTTCAAGATCAGTATCATGAAGGGCTTCCTTTTTAATGGTTCTTTTCAGATAAAATTCGTCAAACATAAATGCTTTAATTTGTTTTAATTTTTCTAATCTTGTGCCGTCGTTTTCGATATATTCTCTAAATTTTGTAATATAATTCATGGATTTGATCTTTCTAAATCGATTAGAAATAGTTGCAAATCTGGCATTCGGATGTTCGTCAACACATTCGATTATATTTTCCGTTTCTTCTAATGTAAAACGATTTTTTAAATCAGAATGATCAGTCTCATCATAATCATCCATTTCATCGTCAGTGTCTTCTTCATTGGTTATATCATCGTTGCTCTCTTCCGCATCAGTCATTTCATCATATTCATCTTCAAATTCGAGAGTATCATAAGTATATAGCTCACTGAAGTAGCTATCTGTAATGACTTTAGAACTTGAAATAATCGTTCTGCAACAAAAATTTCATCGGTAGTTGTTGCAGAATTTTCAGATCCATATTCAGTTTGAGTCAAATGAAGATGTTTGGCGATGTTCAATAAGTTCATGGTTTTATTTCACGAGATAAACGTTTTATTCGGTAGATACGGCAGAATGAAAAAGAATAATTCTTCGATAGTATATTTGATTTGTAATCTCTTCACACCAATCGCAAAGAAGCGGTCAAATAGACCACCAAGTGATGCATTGATGCACTTTAATTTCAAATATTGTATACACACGTCATTTTTTAAACATATCATATTCCTTTGTTTTCATTTCGATAGTAAGGAAGTTCCAGAAGACACTGAAACTAATGTAATCCTACTGCTATTGATAAATTTCAGAAAGATTCTTGTAGCCTACTATCGAAATACTCAGTTGATTGCATAAAAAATTAATGTAAATAGTTCTAATGTACCTATATACTCTAACCGGGAGGACCATAAAATCGAATATCTCCCTCCAGGCAAGCCAACAGCAGCTAATATTTTAACCTTGTTAGTTTGGCGGTGAGAGCTTTCTTTTGATGCAAAAATATCTGGTCTTTTCAACTTACAACACAAACACCTCCATTGTCAGCGCTCTCCGTCTAAATCCGCCACTGAGATGACCTGAATAAAAGGAAAAAATGTTTTTACTTAAATAATGCTTACCGTTCGTTGAGATGATAGGATGATCTAAATCAAAGGAAAAAGATATTTATGTTTATATAATAATAATTAATGTTGAAGGTTGTTGAAAAATCGCCGATTATTCGGGATTTATTGTAATATTCAAAAAGTCACTGATTTATCGCGGTTAATCAATGACTTCCTTTTTGTTGTTTAGAAAATCGTCGATCAATCGTGATTTGGCTAGGACAATTGCCGATTAATCGTGATTAATCCCCGATTTTGTGGAACTCACATATATTTTCGAAGAAAATAGTAAGTGTAAGTTTTAAGCCGAAGTTTTGGCGGCTTTCCTCTCGCCCCCTTCCCTTCTCTCCATTACAGACACTTACCAACCAGAGGTCCCATTATAGACATCCCACCCATTACAGACATATCCCCCATTACAGACAGGCTCCCATTACAGACACCTCCCCATTACAGACCTCAGCAACCGCACGCAACAGACTTTAGATTTGTTTATTAATAAGAAAAAGGAGTTGAACAGTATAAAGAACATGAGCTCGACACTTATACAATATTTCAACGCCTTCATTAACAAGTAACGTTCATTGACAGTCGATTCACCTGGTCCTAGACTGACGCCAGTAACGACACACATGTGTTAGAAAGTTATAAGATTAAGATTAAAAAGTTAATACTAAAACTCTTTTGAGCACGAAAAAGCGCTAATAAAATTAGCGCTGTTTATACTCAAAAAAAATCATATTTAAAATAATTATCGTTTTCATACATCATAAAATTATGTATTTGTTCTGGTTCACTTGTCAAAATTTTATTATACGTCATATGCTGATTAGTAATGCGGGTGCCATATGATCTTTTGTACCATATTTACCGAAATGGTCACTGGTACCATAGGTACGTGGTCGTTGTCTCAAAAAAAATAGTCATTTGTGCCAAAAAATGATCATTTATGCCATAGTTACGTGGTCATATGTGCCATAGTTACATGGTCATTTGTACCAAAAAAATGGTCGTTTGTGCCAAAAAAAATGGTCACTTATGCCATAGTTACATGGTCATTTGTGCCATGTTACCGACAAAAACGATATGCGTGCAGACAGATCAATTTCCGTTTCTAGACCCTATTCTTACAGTCTAGGAAATATTTGGAAAACTATAATATATCTATTAAAGTACTTAATAGCGAAATCGTCAACGTTTTTAGAATTTAAATTTGTACTTTAAAAATGAAAAATGAAGAGTAGTAATAGAGTGATCTGTCATAGCAATCATATAATCATTATGAAAAACATGTTTCGATCTTTTTATCAGCTTAAAAAATAAACGATATTACCATTTATGAGTTGATTCGGATATATAGTAGTACGGTAAGATCTGCTGATGCATATATAGTGCATTGTTATAATAGTCTGATTTATGAGATAGTCGATGATGAAGAAAAATAGTAACGTCAAATTAAAACAAAAACAAAAAAAACGAAAGATAATGAGCGAATAGCAACAATACAAAATAAAAATAGGTCGCCTGTAGAAAAAAATTTCTGTTCGAAATGTAGAAATTAGAAAAGCTCTTACTCTGATTTTCGATTATCCTACAAAACAGCTATAGTCTACGAGAGGTTTGTCATTTTACATATTTAGTATTAGTTTAATGAGGCTATAGAATATATGTGAGTTCCACATTTCAGCCCCAATGGAGCTGTGCTAACAAGCTTTTTTCACATATTACGATTAATCGCCAAGAGTGAGGTCATTTGGAAGACATGGTGTTAGCGGTCATTTCATCACCATCAGAAAACTTTTGATTGAATCGCTTTCTTTTTTTTCTTTTTTTTCGTTCTTTCTTTCCTTTGTTGTTATTCTTTGTTTCTTTTTTTTTCTTTTTTTTCTTTTTTTTTCGTTCTTTCTTTCCTTTGTTGTTATCGTTTGTTTCTTTCTTTTCTTTCTTCTTTTATTCTCTCTTAGTTATCATGTTCATATACGTGTATAAATGTGTATACAGACACTATAAAAATAACATAAAGTGCAAGTTGCCGATTACGAGTTAAAACGTACATATACATCTAAGAATAAACAACAAGATTGCCTTGCAATGCTTGACTGCGCATGCTTTTTCGTTTTATAATAAGCAACGAAAAGAAAAACATATGGTTAGTTCGACAGTCATAATGAATTGCATTGTAAGTAGGTATTTTTACATGTTGCTCTTCGATGTTTTTTCTTTCATGATAGCCTTGTTGAACACAATCAAATGAGCGCTAGACAACCTTTGTTAAATGCATCCAGTAAATTGTCTATTGGTGATAATGATAATGATGACAATAGGAACCAGAAACAACTTTTGACCAAAAGGTATGAGTTAATAAATGACAAACTTCGAAAAAAAATACAATGAATTTATCATTTTTTATAGTTTTTCTGCTTGGTACCGATGTTTCAGTAGAAAAGAGAACGATAATAAATATGTAAAACTTGATGATGATACTAAGCATAGTGGCAGAGATAAAATAGTTGGTGTTTTCCATTTAGTAAGTGTATTCAGACGAAATACAAACCGATTGATATACTCAATTTCATTGTAGTTTCGGTTTGCAAATCGTATTGATCTTTTCCTGATGTTCATTGCTACATGTTTGATGATGCTAAACATAGTTTGCATTCTCATTAGTCAAGTTCTCTTCGGTCAGCTCACAGGATTATTTGCTATTAAGTCCTTTGGCGATATTTGTGACAATCGATATAAAAATTTGGCAATTTCAATTAAGAGCAACAATACATATTCTCAAACCATCGAGCACAATATATTCAACAATGCTTCGTCGCATAAGTAATACATTCAAAACTATTAGCATTCATTGTATTTCTTTTATTTTCTTTGGTACTTTTACCTTAGAATGGGCCATAATAGTGATGCAATTTTGTTATCAACACTAGCTACATCAACGCCTTCTTTTCAAGAAAAAGTGATGAACATAGTTCACTGGTTATTTAGTAAGTGAAATGAACGTAGTAATTTGATTATAAAAAATAGTGAAAGTATTCTTTTCTTCTTCATCAATATAGTCATTTGTACTGTCAAATTTCTGGTCAGCTCGAGTGGAAATTATATTTGGATTATCAGTGCGAAACGGCAGACATTTCGTATGAGTGTTTCCCTCTTTCGATCAATTGTTCAACGCGTAAGTCAAATGCATTTCCATTTACAAAATAATTTTCCTCAAAGTTTAATCCCAGTCTTTTCTTAGCGCTACTAGAAATTTATAACATTTTAGACGCTCTCTTTTAAGAAACCTTTATCATACAAAAGTTAGCTTTTCTAGTCAACAACGCACAAAATAAGCTAAAGTATCTGGGTAAAAGTTATACATACATAGAAAAACCTATATTTCTAGGATTTCTAGATCTGAATGTGAGAAATCAGGGCAACAATACAAATCTATGTCCAACCTCGCTGTCACTCACATATAACATGCTTTCTTAGAAGTTGATGCAAATATAATTGCTTTAATCTTTTATAGAGCAATTGCAATCATTTACTATCTTTCGAGGAATTTTCAATTTCTGTAGATGATGGTTTTATAGATATAAAGATAGGTATCTTCGTTATTACTACACTTTTAGAAACTGTAAAACTAGAGATATTTCTGAAAAATTTGAACATCACATCATGTAATTCTAACACAATATTAAAGAAACATTGATGAAATCACATAGCTATTTCAATCATATTATTTATTTCCAAGTTAGCGTGTACGGAAACGAGCTTTCTCTGCCCAGTGATGCGCCATTTTAACTTGGAGTAGGCACTGCTATCTATGAAAATTGGAGTAGAGTTGAGTTTATATACTACAGAACTTCATTAGATGTCGTCTTCTGATTTCAATGACTTTTCGCACCTGGATACTAGATATTATTCTAGTGAAAATCAATAAAGGATTTCTGTTTCTATTGAAACTTGGCAGAACTATTAAAATTTTTAATATTTCTATCTGTCAGAGACCTCTGTGGATCTCTGGTCGACGGAAAAATCGTGTTTCTGAACTTTTAATTGAAACTCTTCTTTCGAAGATCTCAAATACATTAGTTTGTATGAAAAGTTTCAGAATTCGTAGACTTCGTATCTCTCAAATACGAACTTTTCAAATATTCTTGTATTGTTAATTACACCTCGAAAAGTATCGAATTTTGAAAAGTTCAAATTTGAAGATATCAAATCTAGAAACTCTTCATACAAGCC